GAGGCTGACAATTTTTTTGAAGCCTCAAAATAAGGAAACCCTAATAATCAACTGAACCTGATTATTGATTATAACGGCCTGCTAGCTAGCTATGAATTTCTACAAGTACGAGAGCGAATTGAGTTGAGTTGAGTTGAGTTGAGTTGAGCGAGTTACAATGAGAGGAGAATTGCTGAAGAAACCCTAGCTTTTTGTCTGTGTAGAGAATAATCAAAATTTTTATGTGATTCTAAAATGGTTGTGGAGTGATATTTTAAAGGTATTTGCATATGAAGACAGAAGTTGGGCCTGGGCCTGGGCCTGGGCCTGGGCCTGAAATGGGTCAGCTTTGAATGTTTCCATTTTTATGAAGGATTATTGTGAGAATAGTGGCAATGGGCCTTTTGACCCGGTTAAAAGTTTTTTTTGTCCTTTGACCTGCTTTTTCTTTTTTTCTTTTTTTTAAACAAGTTGTCATTTTCTATTTATCATTTTTACCCCTCAGCCCTAAGAGAAGAAACGGCTCCCAAATTTGAAAGAGAACACCAGGCAGGCTTCAACGAAGAAGAAGTAGCAGTAAACTTCAACCTTCAAACTTCAAACCTTCAGAAATTGAACGGCTATTTGCAAACTTCAGTTGTAGCTATCTAATTTTAACGACCACCATTGTTTATGGCGTGAGGAAGTATTCAAGGCGCGAGGAAGGATTGAGCAAAAAATTGCATATAGTGAGGTAAATTTGAATCATTTGTTACATAAATTATTAGGTCTGATGAATATTATTTTTTTTACTCAAGTCATTTGAATAATTTGTTCCTCGGGTCTTTTTTATTTGTTATTCAAGTCATTCTGATATGGTTCTCTGGCAAAGAGGAGAAACACTTTACCTTGAGGTTTTAAATTTTAGTAAAATATTCATATAGAAAAAGAAAAAATCATCCTAGATAAGCCAGAGAAAGAAAAAAACATGGTAGTTTTGTAGAGTAAACAGTCTACTTCAATCATGAAAAAAAATTCTAAAATAGTCATATTTATAAAATTCCCTACTCGACTTCTGCTTTTGTTGATATAAACTCTGTGTCCTGTTACATCGTTTATCTGGATGGTAAAGCATCAGATTCTATGTATTTAAAATATTTGACCTCTATGGTTTCTTATTTTAGGCCAAACGTGAAATCATGTTAGTACCTCAGATTTTAATTATGGCTGCCTAAATTTGGAAAAATGAGCTTAATAAGCTGTTTTTGAAAACATTGAGGCACCTGACTTTTTACTTGATTTTGAAGAACTTATAACAACTTCTAATTCGTCAAAAAAATTCATCTATTTAGGTTTTTCTAAATCTGAACCTTTATTGGTTGGCAGAGTTTTCAATTGAATTTAGTACCCTGTCTTTTGGGTGCTAATAAATGTATAGTTCTGAAATACCTATTTTGAACATCACAAACGAGTTCTCAGATATATTCTATTCAAAGACGACATTGGTTTTCTTGCTTTGCGAGTATTATTCAACTCTATAAAGTCTCGTATTGTACTTATTTTGGGCGACTATGTTCTTGAGGTACAAACTTTTGCCGACATCTATCCCATTATGTGAGACCCTTAACAGATGGTGTACATTCAAATTCAATGTACAAAACATCATTGTAATTTATTGGTTTTGAAGATCAATGTTGATGTGTGATGAGAATTCTGAATGTTTTTCCTTGTATCAATTCAGAATAATGACATGGTATTTATAAGAAAAGTAACCAACCAAGGATCAACTGGTTTAGAGTATTTCCATATATCAGGAATCTGGCTTTTTTGTTTGCTTACTTTATAGAATTTAATCAACTTTGATGTGTAATAAATTAGCATGTAATCCTGTTCTTTTAAGATACAATATTTTTCTCGTGTTATTAAAATTCTTTATATGAGCAATGGATGACATTTCACGGTACCTTCATTTGGTAAAGAAGTGATAATTGCTGTGACACTAGCATGTTGATTTGTTTTTGTGTCTAGAAGAAAATATGTTTTATATTTATTTTTGCCCAGTATTCAATTGCATAAGATACATTGATTTGTTAGAATTTACATGTCCAGAAGAAAATATGTTTTATATTTATTTTTTTGCAGGATGGAGTACATATACAACATTGGTGATCGCTGTGATGCAAAGGTTACAACACGTTCTAATGTGTCGAATGTGGAAAAAGTATATGAAGCATTAGATGATGTCCATAAGGAGATGTTCTTGAAGTCGTGCTTTGGTAAACTGTATGACGTCAGGAACATGCAAATATCTGCTCAATTAATTCACAACCTATTATTACGAAGAGTTGTTTCGGTCAATGAGGATGAATTGTGGTTTTGTTTAGGCTTGGAAAAAGCTGTTCGTTTCTCCCTATTTGAGTTTATGCTCGTGACTGGATTAAGCCCTGCGAATGAGGATGAGTATGAGAGTCAAATAAATGAAAATGGTAGATTGAGAAATAAATATTTTCCAACATCTAACAAGGTTACGCCTAAAGAATTAAATGAGGCATTTGAAAAAGAGGTACAAGACATGGATGATAAATACAAATTGGGTTTAGTGCAAACATCTAACAAGGTTATGCCTAAATAATTAAACGATGCATTTGAAAAAGAGATACAAGTCATGGATTATAAATACAAATTGGGTTTAGTGCTTATATATGAGACTGTGTTGAGGTCCAAAGAAAAAAATACATCTATAGATCTTCGCACTTTAGATATAGTTGATGATTTGGAGCAATTCAATGCATATCCATGGGGAACTAAAAGTTTCAAATTTACGATACATGCATTCCTTAGAGTGTCGAAGGATCCGAAACCCAAATACTCATTGTGGGGATTTCCACTAGCGATACAGGTAAATGGCCAAAACTTGTGATTTAGACATTGTTTTTATTTGATTTTAAATATTTGTAAGTAACTTATACATCTTCTTTTAGGTTTGGGCGTTCGAGTCTATTCCTCGAATAGCAAACATGTATCATGCTAGGTTACATATCAACGGGCTGCCGAGAATGTGTCGTTGGAAATCAACACTTACTCCTAATTCTCATGATATTGCTGAAGTCTTGGATGACCCACAAGTGAGTATATCTTCTATATTGTAATTACTTTTGAACGTTACCTCAAGTACTGCTAAAAGGATTTTATTTGTCAATTATTCAGCTCCAAGTTCGTTGCTCATTGACAGCTTCTCCCGATGAGACTGAACAACAATATGTGAAATTATTCGTTCACGATACTAGAAAAGAAGAGAAATTTGGGATGGAGACAGTTGCAGGGAACATTGAGAGGGAGACGGATGTAGTAGACATTGATGTGGGGACTAATGTGGGGACTGGGATGTACACTAAGGTTTTTACTCGGAAGAAGAGAAATTTGGATAAAACTTATCAACAAACTGATGCCTTGACACGAGATAAAAGACTTAGAAAAGCTTCAAAGTTAGTTTCATCTCCATACACGACTGGAGCTAAGTGGAGAAGACATGTGGATAATACGTACGTTGATCTTTTTCGGGATGTTGACCCAATTAAGAAGAAACATTTCTCCAAATGGCACTCCAGTTTAGGTGATGGGTAAGCATCCTTACCAATTTATTGAATTTGTATTATTTTACTTGTCACTTGTATTCTTTTACAATTTTGCATTTTTTCCTTCAGTGTTCCATACAAGTTGGGTCATATCAATTTAGAAGACGCGAAAAAATGGTTTAACGATGTGTTGAAACCAGGAGGATGGTTTCTAGATGATGTAAGTATGGTAACTCATTACTTGTGTTATTCAATTACTTTGTATATAATTATATATTCAACTTTCAGCATGTTGACATGGCATTGCATTTGTTGCGAGCTCGGGCAACAAAATATCCCAAGTCTTTTGGTGGTTCACGAGTTATATTGGATGTGCAATTTAATAACGAATTGACCTTCGCTATGTTGGATTTACGTGAGCGAGGGGATTGTTTCAGAATGCCTATAGAGCTAATGGAATACATTACCGGAGCGAAACCATCATATGGAAGGAAATGGCATGATTGTACACATGTATATTTTCCGGTATGTACTCGTAAACATTGGCTCGCAGTTGAGATCGACTTTTGCAAAGCGACAATATTTGTGTATGATCCTGATAAAGGTTGCATTACGAATGATCAACTCAAAGAGGACTTGAAGGCTGCTAGTATCATTGTCCCGCTACTCCTAAAGGAAATCAACATTGATTTGGAGACACACACTCTTGCCATAGAAAGGAATACCAAAACTACTAAACAAGCTCTTTCGTAAGTTTCTTATTACAACTACATATTCACTTGTTCATATTCAATTAGTTATTACACTTCGTTTACCATTGTTTATATTCTTGCAGGGGTGATTGTGGTATGTACGTAGTAAAATATATAGAATTCTTGAGCATCAACGGTCCAGTAGAGCAAGTTAATGGATTCTATATGAATAGATGGAGGGAAAAGATGACTGCCGATATTTTTGCCCTTGATTATGATCCATAGGACATTTTCATGTATTTATGTCTGTGAATTCTGAGTATATATAATTTTATAATAGATATTGAATGTTAATTTTTTTTTTTTTGTTGTGACTAGTAGTTAAATTGTTCAGGTTGATTTTCTTTATATTACAAGGTAGATAATGTCGAATTTTTTTCAAAAATGTTGGTTGTCGAATACTATGGTTGTCTAAAAAGACTATAGTTTATAGTCGCTTTGAAAAAAATGACTATAGTCTTTTCAAATGATTATAATGCAAGATAAGGTGTGAATCGAACTTCTAATGTTATAGATCGTGTTTGGTTTCAACCTATTACTTTAAGATGAAAAAACTGTTTATTACTTACAATAATGTATAATGAAAGATATATGAATAACTATTTGGGTGATTGATTTGGATAAGTTACATCATAATGTATATAACATTTTAAATAGTGTTTGGTCTGATTTTGAATTTTTTTGTTAAATAATGTATAGAAAACGAGCTTATGATTGAAAACAAGAAGCAAGTAGTTTAAAACGACTGCAGTCGTTTCACGTAAAACGACCCAGTCGTTTAAGTCGTTTTTAAACGACTGGGTCGTTTTACGTGAAACGACTGCAGTCGTTTTAAACGACTAGAGTCATTTTTTTGTGAAACACTGAAACGACTGAGGTCGTTTTTAAACGACTGAGTCGTTTTACACGAAACGACTGAAGTTGTTTTACACGACTGCAGTTGTTTTCCAGTTATCACTTGTTATATGAACTAAACGAAAATGCACAAAGTGTCTTAACATTCATAAAACATAATTTTGGCATGAATTACGACAAAAACTAGAAATCCATTTGCATTGTTTATCTAAACGACATGAAACCAATCGAACAAACAATATACTAGTCCTCCAATCTTCTATCAACTAAAGGTATCTGACTTGTGCATGTTAGTCGGTTGTGTCCAGTTGCGGCACACCTACTACACTTGTGCCTTTTCGGAAACTCTCCAGTAGACGGAATTCGTGTTGTTTTAGTACGTCCACCTCGTCGTCGTACTAGCGGTGGCAACACATTGAGGAAGCCAACATTTTCAGGAATCTCCCAATCAACTTCATTTGGCACTGGAAAAATTGTATCACTGTAAGCTATTCTCCAATATTCAACTGTATAATACAAAGAGCAAAACAAGTAAATTGAATAGCCACTCTTCTTCGCCGCAGCTACTGCATGCTCGCACGGTAAATGTTCTAATTGAAACCGTCTACAAGTACAGGTTTTTTCATCCAAGTTAACAGTAAAATTCATGGTTTCGTTTCTCACACTATATGTGAACTGGTCAATCGGATCGGCAACAAACTTTTTGGCTTTATCAACATTCTTACGCAACTTCTCTTCAATTATTGGCGTTAGAGTGCTTGTACAGCCCTGTGCATTCACACGCCTCTCATAAAACCATTTTTGCAATCTTTTCCTAATACTCTCGATCAATGGAAGTATCGGATTCTGACGATCTTTCTTAAACACCGAATTCAATGACTCTGCATTGTTAGATGTCATGATATTGTAACGATTCCCCTGAAAGTGTGACCTGGCCCAAGTATGGAAACGTGCTTTGACTAAATAATCCCAAGCTTTGATATCAATTCTCTTAATTTCGCTCATATAATTTCCAAACTCTTCCAAAGTATATGCTTCAGCTGCTTTCTTAAAAAGTAGGAAAATCTCGATTTTTCGAGTTACTGTTCTTAAGTTACCTTTTATGTGATAGATGCAATGACCATGATGGGCATTTTGATAGACAGCTTGAACTCCATTGATAATACTTTGATGTCGATCAGATATAACAACAAGATTTTCAGTATCCCCCGTTACTTCTTTCAACTTGGTAAAAAACCAAGTCCACGATGCATCATTCTCAGAATCAACTATACCCCAAGCAAGAGGATAAATCTGGATATTTGCATCTTCACAAGTAGCAACAATCAGCGTACCTTTATATTTCTCAGTCAAAAATGTTCCATCAACGACAACTACCTTCCGCATTGAAGAGTGAAATCCGCGAATACAAGGTCCGAGGGCCATAAAAAAGTACTTGAAGCGATTCTCACCATCAATCTCTAAAGACAATGCTGTTCCATGATTAGTTCGAGCCAAGTTATGAGAATATAAGCCCAATTTAGCATAACTATCCTCCGGGGAACCTCTCAAAGCTTTCAAAGCACATTCTCGTGACTTCCGCGCCCTCTGATAACTCATGTCTACCCCGAATTCCCGACGCATGTCATTAATAATGTCTGCAGGTCTATATACCGTGTTAGGATTTTGAAACTTAGGCATTATATGTTTTCCAACAACCCACGATCTTGCCTGTCTATGATCATTTCGACGAATACTCACAGAGCAAGTATGTTCACGTGCATACTTGCGAATTTGAAAGTAATCACAATTTTTGAATTTAGTTGCTCGCAAACGCCATTTGCAATTTTCATCCATGCAAACAATTGTATAGACTTCTTTATTTGATTTCTTCACTTTAAATTCAAAGTTATACTTCATCGCAAGCANTATTTCATTAATTTATTAGAAAATAAGGGAAAAATAAATTTTCTTAATGACACAGTCACACAAAGAACTTATTTGTTGGCACTAGTGTCCAGAATATTACGGTATTTGTCAACAACGTGGCTACAGCCCCCCCTAAATCCGTCCCTGATCGTCGACATATAACGACGACAACCATCGATGAAATTTTCTTGATGAGCTTTTACTCCAAATAAATTTTGTATAATTATTTGAAGAGATTCCTTCAAAAATTATGCTCAAGGTCTCTATAACTCAATGCTATCAAAATCGGACCAGACTAATCAAACCAAGAGAAAAATAATATAATATGGGACACGTTTAAATTTTTTATTTTCATAAAGAGTAACACGATATGTCACCGGTGTAAGATGTTAATTTTTAATGAAAAGTAACACAGTAAAGAGCCTTGCTACATTAATAGAGCTACGTATGTCCTATTCAAACAGAAGGGGGACGCCCCCCATAGACTGGGTGCCTGCCTACCTATGCAACAAGAATAATCCTGGGGTATTTTTATAAATGGCTTAGTCAAACCCCTCAAAACTTTTTTCAGCCTAACTTACTATAGAAAAGTTTTTGAGGCCCTTTTTAGGTTAAAATGTCCATATTATCCTTTTAAATATTGTTGAAATATCTCAAATGCCCTTATTACATAATGACCATAATACCCATTTTTCAAATTAAAATGATAACCGTTACTTTCATTTCTTCTTCCAGAAATTTCAAATTTCTTCTTCTTCTTCTTCTTCTTCTTCTTCTTTAATTTATCCATAATCTTCTACTTCTTTATTCTTCTACCCGAAGTATAAAGAAGCTTGTGAAAGAAGAAACCCTTATATTTCTACATTCTATATTGGTAAGATATTATTTTCAATTCTAATTATTTTTTAATCTAGTATTTTTTTTTATTTATTCATCGTATATTCATTGTCATTTGTGTTTATTTAAGTGTTTGAACGTATTTTTCGATTTCAAGTAGTTCTGAAAAGCAGAATCTCGTATAATTTCTAGTCACGGATTCATTACAGACGTTTTAAACGACTACTCAGTCGTTTAAAACGACCATGGTCGTTTTAAACGACTGAGTAGTCGTTTAAAACGTCTGTAATGAATCCGTGACTAGAAATTATACGAGATTCTGCTTTTCAGAACTACTTGAAATCGAAAAATACGTTCAAACACTTAAATAAACACAAATGACAATGAATATACGATGAATAAATAAAAAAAAATACTAGATTAAAAAATAATTAGAATTGAAAATAATATCTTACCAATATAGAATGTAGAAATATAAGGGTTTCTTCTTTCACAAGCTTCTTTATACTTCGGGTAGAAGAATAAAGAAGTAGAAGATTATGGATAAATTAAAGAAGAAGAAGAAGAAGAAGAAGAAGAAGAAATTTGAAATTTCTGGAAGAAGAAATGAAAGTAACGGTTATCATTTTAATTTGAAAAATGGGTATTATGGTCATTATGTAATAAGGGCATTTGAGATATTTCAACAATATTTAAAAGGATAATATGGACATTTTAACCTAAAAAGGGCCTCAAAAACTTTTCTATAGTAAGTTAGGCTGAAAAAAGTTTTGAGGGGTTTGACTAAGCCATTTATAAAAATACCCCAGGATTATTCTTGTTGCATAGGTAGGCAGGCACCCAGTCTATGGGGGGCGTCCCCCTTCTGTTTGAATAGGACATACGTAGCTCTATTAATGTAGCAAGGCTCTTTACTGTGTTACTTTTCATTAAAAATTAACATCTTACACCGGTGACATATCGTGTTACTCTTTATGAAAATAAAAAATTTAAACGTGTCCCATATTATATTATTTTTCTCTTGGTTTGATTAGTCTGGTCCGATTTTGATAGCATTGAGTTATAGAGACCTTGAGCATAATTTTTGAAGGAATCTCTTCAAATAATTATACAAAATTTATTTGGAGTAAAAGCTCATCAAGAAAATTTCATCGATGGTTGTCGTCGTTATATGTCGACGATCAGGGACGGATTTAGGGGGGGCTGGACCCTCCCCCCCCCCCCACCCCAAAAAAAATTTTTTTACTTGGGGGAAAAAAAAAATTTATGTAAAAAAAAAATTTTCATATGTAATTTTTTTTTTTTTACGTATTAGCCCCCCTGTCGTTCGATCCTGAATCCATCTCTGTCGACGATTCAAACAAAATAATTGGTGCACCAACTTTAGGAGTTAGTGACAATAAGGATGTCGATAATATAGAACCAACAACAATACTAATGTTAGTGTCGATGCACCTACTTTAGCAGTTACTGAAGACAATGTTGTCAATGACGTTGTTGACAAAT